GTATGATCAACACAGTACCTGGAGTGATACTAGCCCTACACACAGAAAACCATAATAATAAATAAAGACATAAATATATGTGTATATATGTATGAGTTAGAATCCACCGACACACAACTCTTATATACATCATTTACACAAAATCTTTATCATTTTCTCTATGAACAGTTGAGATTTATCCACTTTTGGTTCTATTTTTTTAAAGATAATCATCTTATTCTTCTAAAAAAGCCATGATAAAGATTTCACGTGGGCAATGTGTATGCATTTATTGCACTTTTTTGTAGTAATTAGCATTAGAAAATTAAAGACTGATATTAATTTTAACAACTATTTAATTAAATTCATCCAACATTAGAAAAATAAATTAATTTCATAATTTTTTTTTTCTAAATAACATATTGCCTATACAAAATTATAAAGCACTACAAAATAAATAAGCAAACTATTATAACAATAATCCTTTGGATTTCAAGGAGAAACTGTCTGTTAGAAGTTATGGGTTAATTTAACCATAAATATGGATGCATAAAAAAACAAATTGGCAATATACAGTACAAAAAAAATGCAGAATAAACAATGTATATATATAAAAGACACAACTTTGAGTCCCTGCGTTGCAACCATATAATAACACGGTTACCGGGTGTGTACCTTAGCTTGGTAGGCTTAGGCTTCCGCTTGTTGGGGAGCGGCTTCTTGACGTCATCGGCAGGATAGAACTTGGGGGGCTTCTCAGCCGGAGCGGCAGCCTTGGGCTTTGGATCGTGGCAGGGGAAGACGCCGCCATTCTTGGCCTTGATTGCCCAGAGACCCCTCTTGTGATACATCTTCGAACGGGAGTACTTCCCGATCCCCCTTACGAGATCCGGATTCCGAGTGACTCTCGGTGCCCTCTGCTTCGGTGCCATCAGGGTTTCTCCTCTCTCTTTCCGGCTCTGCTCCGCGAGCGAAAAAATGAAGAGTTGCGAAGACGATGATGGTGTGTATATATAAAATGATAAATGAAACCCTAAAACCCCTAATTAAAAAGTGGGTCGGGTATTGGGTTGTGGTTATGTGGGCTGCAGTTTTACAAGGATGTGGGCTTAGTTTACCATTTTAACAGTATTGGGTCGGATCAATATACAATATACGTAAACTGGGAAAAAGAAAAAGGTTTTATTTCCTATAGAGTATGTATTATTATTTTTAATGTTTTTTAATAATTTACTACCATTAAAACTGATTTAAAAAGCATAATTGAGACTAAAATGAGATTTTATATAATAAATTTTAGTAATATATACTATGAGTTGAACGAAAATTAGAAATAGACTAATATGATTTATGCAATATTAGTGATAAATGAACTTAATTTTTTATGTAAACTAGAGAATTTCACATGATATAACGTATATTTATCTATTTAAATTTACAAAAAGATATAATAGATAAAGATAAGTTTAGTATAACTTGAAAAAATATATTGAATAGGATAAAAAATCCTACTGTTACATGAATAATAAATACATTGAAATTAGTTTAAATTCTATATTAGTTAACTATAGTAAAATCAAATCCCTTAAAATTTTAACTTTTGGTATTACTTAAAATCAATTTAATTTTTCTTTAATTAGTTTAATTAACTAGTTTATTTAAATCATTAATTACAATTGTTTAAGTAAAATTAAAATTAATTAATTTCAATACTTAATTTCAATATTTAACAACTACACTATCATAGTTAGTTGGCAAAGCCCTACAACTATTTAATTTTCATTAGATTTGGCATCCCTAGGGCAATCATTAGTGATGGGGGAAAATATTTTTATAATAAACAATTTGATAAATTTTTGAGAAATTATGAGTCACCCATAAAGTTGCCACCCCATAACACCCACACAAACAAGTGACCAAGTAGAGGTTTCAAATAGGGAATTGAAGAAAATCCTAGAAACAACCATTAGTGCATCTAGGAAAGATTGGTCCTTGAAACTTAATGATGCACTTTGGACATATAAGACAACTTATAAAACTCCTATTGATATGTCTCTATATAGGTTAGCTTTTGGAAAGACATGTCATTTACTTGTGGAACTTAAACATAAAGCATATTGGGCTATGAAATTCTTGAATTTTGATATGCAAGCTGTAGGAGAGAAAAGGATATTGCAATTAAATGAATTGGATGAATTTTGTTAGAAAGCATATGAGAATTTGAAAATCTAAGAAGAACGCACCAAGAAGTGGCATGACATCCACATTTTGAGGAGTGAATTTGTAGTTGGTCAGAAAGACTTACTCTATAATTCTCATTTTAGATTGTTTCTAGGTAAATTGAGATCTAGATGGTCAAATCCTTTCACTATGACAAAGGTTTTTTCCTATGGAATGGTGGAAGTTTCTCATGAGACCAAAGGCAATTTTAAAGTGAATGATCCTCATTTGAAGCTTTATATTGATAGTAATGGATTCAATAAGCACAAAACCACCTTTGCATTGCAAGATCTAAAGTGATCATTTGAGATAGTCAAGCTAATGACTATAAATTAAACACTTTTTGGGAGGCAACCTAAGTGTTAAACTTTCTTTTTTATTATTATTATTTTTTTCTTTAGTTTCTTTTTATTACTGACTTATTTTACTTTATTTTTTTTCTCTTATTTTTTCAAGTTGGTGCACAAATTTGGGAGAAATTCAAGTTCGTGAATGTTGAAGGCACCTTAACTATCGATTTTAATTTCAAATCTTTAAGTGCATACAACCTA